TTGAAGGGGACTTGATTCTTTGTTTTATTGCTCTCTCAGAAGTCATAAAAGCAGTGTATACTGTTTTAAAATGTTTTCCAGTTACAGAATCACAGAATGATATGGGGTTGGAAGGGACCTCTGGAGATCATCTAGTCCAACCCCCCTGCCAAAGCAGGTCCACCTAGAGCAGGTTGTATGGGAACATGCCCAGGCTGGTTTTGAATGTCTCCAGAGACGGATATTCCATCGCCTCTCTGGGCAGCCTGTTCCAGTGCTCTGCCACCCTCAAATTGAAGAAGTTCCTCCTCATGTTTAGATGGAACTTCTTATGTTCAAGTTTGTGCCCATTTCCTCCTGGCCTCAGCCAATGTGACACTGTTTCTGCTGTCTTTGATGATACGGGTTTACATACTTAGTCACGTATTTTAGAGAATAGGAATGGCAATGCTGTTCACAGTGGTGATAAGAAACTGTGTTTTATGCTTTTGACATGAGACTCTACACAATAGTAAACAACCTGATAGAACGATATTGTCTGCTTCACTTTGGGTGAAGAACTTTGTTATAAATAACAGTAAATTCTTCTTTTGATTGGTTTCTGTGTTTACTAAATTTTTAAATTTAAGCTGGGCTAAGCAGCTGTGATCAGTATGAAAATGGAATAAACAAATCGTATGCTAATAAAGCTGACTATAAGGGAGACATTGCCCAGTGTTTCTCAAGCTCAGGTATGGGCTGCTGGACAGAAATTCTAGATCTTCATGAAGCTAACTCTAGAAAACAAGTACATACAATATACTTTACCTTTCTAAAGGTAGTACAGAGTATTACTTCTTTAATTTCTAAATTCCTAACATCAAACTGGGATCCCGAAATCATTTAAATAAAGATGCATGTACTGTTACTGGAATCTCTCACAAGTGTTTTCTATGGAAAAACAGAAGCAAACCCTTTACTGCAGGTTAAAAGGTGTTGTAACAACACTAAGAAGTGTTGTGAAAAGGCAGGAGGAAACTCGCTGCCTGGGTTCTGCAGTATAAAATCTTTTTGTGCAATGGTAGTTTATTGAGCAAGATGAGAATCGCTTCAGCAAAAGTGGCAAGGAACCAATATACACATACGTGACTCTGCCACTTTCCTCAGCTCATGGAAGTTGTGCAATCTTTCCAAAACTAAGTAATTGTAACAGGCTACCTGCCAGGCTGCAGTTTCTTGTCCAAATTGAAGGCAGGTGAACCCTGCTGTCCTGCCGTGCATGCAAAACTGATTTGTACTGTTGCTTAGATTTAATGTTGTTTTGGATTTCCAACAGGAAAAAATGGTGCTCATACTGTGCATTAATATGGGTGAAAAGTTTGCTCTATTATGCTAATCTTTCATCTACAAGGAATTCTAAATAACCTATCAACACAGCACAACATAAGCATTAATGCACCGTTTAAAAGGCTTTCATAACAGAATATGTGGATAAAGAAAGAAAGGTTGCACTATAGATGACAAACAAAAGTCACTGCTCCTTACTTTTCCAGCAGCCTCTCCTGACCACCACAAGGCAGTATTCACACATTACATCACACATTACACAAACACAGGTAGCGTATGTGGTTATATAGCTCAACTGAAAATTAACTAGGTATGGCTCATGAGGTAAGCCAAAGGAAGCCTACAAATTCAATATTTGATTTATTTAATTTCTGTCATTTTCTATACAACCTTTGCAAATTTCCTCTTTGTTTTATATATACATATATACATATATGTGTATAACACTTGCAATATTTCAGTGGTGTTTTCCTTACAATTACTATAGCTGAATGTTTAGAAACACTTGTACCAAAAATAAACAAATGGTCTATGTTAGAGGAAAACAGTCTAAGAATTTTGTGTCATTCTTTCATAGTGTTTTCAAGGTGTTATAAATGGCAACACAGTAAAAAAAAAAACCCGAGCCTGAAAATGAGAAATACATTGACAGAGTCTTTTAAAGTAATAAGTCACAGCAGGGTGTGGGGCTACAGTACTGCCTAATAGTTGTTAATCTGAATAAATAATATGTTTTTAATCATCAAGTGGCATTTAATTAACCTGCAATAACAGGCTTATTAATTCTCAATTAAATCATTATTTGAAACACTTAATTTAAACGTGAATTAATATATTTTCTGCTACCTCCTATAAGGTATCTCACTATTTTTGATGAATTGTAGGTTAAAGTTTGGCATTTACTCTCCTTCTTCCTCAATGAACATCAAGGACAGGTTTGAAAAGCTTCATGCTGTTTGTTAATTAAAGTAAACCAGAAGAGCAAAAGACAGGGAATTCAGAAAACAAAATAACCCAATTACTATACACTCCAACAGTGCAATATGATTTATTTACACTTAATCTCACACTTAACAAATACTCAGGGCCATATCCTCTGCTAGAGTAAACTGACAATATTGACTTCAATTAATTTAGTTACTAAGCCATTACGTGTTTTAGTTTGGATTTTTTTTTGGTTTGGTTTGGTTTTTTCTTTAATGTTGGTTAAATATGGGCAATCTGCTCACTTTTGCCTAAGAATCAGATGCGAAAAACAATCCCTGTTCCAGGCAGCTTACAGCCAGGGGTACAGGAAAGTGGGGATAATATTTTCTTCCTGTGATGTGATGCTCACCTTGATATTAAAAGAATATTTTTTACTCATACTTTGAATAAGAGCAATGACCTGTACTGGGAGTAGGAGATAGAGGAAAATATGCCACTAAGAAGAAAGAAATGGAAATGTAGTGCCCTAAACACTAAAACACACTCCATGCCAAGAAATATTTTAAGAGGGACTTCTTGTAATGAAGTGTGATAAGCCTTTGAAGAGTTAGTAAAAAAATCTGACTTTTACTTATGAAGGAGAATCTTCTTAGGCATCCTCAGTGGATGAGGACACCTTCAGTGATAATTAAGAGCCTCTTCTTATGAAACATCTCCTTTGTGGAACCTGCTCCTCTCCTTTGATTAAAGAAGATACCTGTGGAGACTAGCTTTCCTGTTATAGATTCCTGTCTTTGCAAATACCTCTCATTTGCTTCCCTCAAATAGCCAAAGGAATTCCTACACAAGATAAATGCTGACATGGTCCGAGATGGCATTACACTGCATTCCAAGACAATGAGCAACCTTCTTCCCTAAACTGCTTAAAGCTCAGCCAACATAAATAAATTAAAAAAAATTCAGGCACTGAGTAAAAACTTTCAGAACTGATTGTATTCTGAGAAGATAATAAGGATACTGTGTAACATATAGCATAGATTTCACTGGAACAAATGTGTTAAGCAGCTGTGATCATGCACCTGAATAATGGAATCTACTTCTTGCATTGAGAGGACATGAACCTATCACAGGAACTGATGTTCTATATAAGATGCAGTTACTATTTGCACCCAAACTGGAAACGTTTATATTTTTATTTTATCCATGTATTATCAAGCCTTTGTTTTCACATTTCTTTTAATTTTCTCATTTTGATGATTTTTTTTTCTTTATTTTTTTCTGGCTGGATAAATTATCTTCTTTTACTTTCATAGAATCATAGAATCATTCAGGTTGGAAGAGACCCTTGGGATCATCGAGTCCAACCATCTACCCTACTCTACAGAGTCCTCCCCTACACCATATCCCTCAGTACCCCATCTAAACGTCCCTTAAACACATCCAGGGATGGTGACTCAACCACCTCCCTGGGCAGCCTATTCCAATGCCCGACCACTCTTTCTGTGAAAAATTCCTTCCTAATGTTCAGTCTAAACTTACTCTGTTGGAGCTTGAAGCCATTCCCACTTGTTCTGTCGTTAATTACCTGTGAGAAGAGACCAGCACCAACCTCTCTACAGTGTCCTTTCAAGTAGGTGTAGAGAGTGATGAGGTCTCCCCTCAGCCTCCTCTTCCTCATACTTAATAATTCCAAGATATTCCCCCAAGTTACTTCCCTGGCAGCATAGCATATTTGCTCCTATAAAAACTACTTATATGGCAGAAAATCTCCTAGTTCTAAATTGAAATGTCCACTTGTTCTTTATGTGGAAAGGCCAACATAGGTTAGAAACATAGAAAAGTCTTTCATGTCCATGGATTAAATAAAAATGATTCAGCAGTTTGCTTCGTGGTTATTTATTGAAACAGGGATGAAATTAGACACTGATGAAAAAAAGGTAGTGAAATCTATGCCCTTCTCCCTCCTCCCCCAATTTATCTTCCATCCAGATTCTCTCCCTCCCACCCAAAAGGTGGTTCAGTACTTCAGTATTCAGATTCAATTCAAGACACCACCCTTCCTTCTTTAAAGCAGGAGGAGGTAGAGTGGTAAAGGATAATAAAGGTGTCCCTGAGTGTCAGAAGGTGCACCTTTAGGCCTTCTATTTTCACCTATATTCTTTCCATTTTTATTCCTGTCATGTTACTGCTGCAGTGAATATCTTCAAAATTTTTTTTTTCTTGTTTCTTTCCATTGGAAGCTTTTCCAGAGTCTTTTGCTTTCAGGCTCCAGCTGCAACCACTGAATACTAAACTCCCAATCAGAACTATTCAGTTCTCTGAGGTGACGGGGTTAGAGGAGATACAGAACCTCACCAGAAGAAGCCTGTCTTTTAATTTCCAACAAGGGATACTTTGAAACAAGTTCAGGTATTTTACTACCAGCATATCTCTGCACTAATGTAGCATTTCACAGAGTTTCCGCAATAACCATCGTTGGGTCTTCTCATAAGAGCTCTATAATAGTCATAAATATTCCTCAGGAGAGCCAGATAGACTCTGAAAGGCATATAATAGCTATCATAAATGAATAATAAAATGTAGAAAGGACAAGCCACCATGCAAATGGCAAATGAATATGATGACGTGTGTGTTGTACATGAGTTAATTGTCTGAGTTTTATATTTACAGAAAATCCCAGCTGTTTTCTGCTGTGTCTGCAATATTTTTGGAAGAGGAAGCATCCTCTGGAAGGTTAAGACTTTTGGCAGAAAGAGTGAAGTACTTACTGACTGGAAAGCTCGCACCATTGTTCTGTGTGTTCTCCTTATGCATCTTCTGAAACTGTTTGCTTCAATGACAAATTCTGGAAGTTACAGTCCAAGCATCATCTTCATCCTGCCAAATGGTGCAGATAAATTTTTCTACAGCAGAAAAACTAAATCAGGAATTTAAAAAATCAGTTAACACATGTGGATATTACAATACTGCACTTCAGAGCATCCTTTTGAGCCTTTTCATGCTTCCCTTTGTCAGGACTTTGACTAACAATACTGGCCTTGTAAGATGCCATGTTCTCTTCATAAGAGTAAAAACGTAATTATCTTGATTTAGAATTACTCCTTTACTTCCTGCATAACTTCATCGATTTCAGTCTAACAATATATGATGTAACATGCCACTCAACTTAGGAAGTGGTACTACTCTGTAAGTAGTCCCATTAAAATCAAACCCATTGCATCCGTGATGAAGTCTTTAGTTTTAATTATGCTGTCATAATCAGGCTTGAAAGCTCTTCTTAAGGGGATATCATGGCTTCCTAACGTTTAAAAGACAGCCAAAACACAAATAAACATAAGGCTATATACAGAAAATGTATACAGAAAAGTAGAAAGGGAAGAAAATGCATATGACATTGGTGTAGAGAACTGAATAGGAGTCGTCTTGAAATCGAGACCTGAAAAAAATTAATCTCTTTCACTCTGTATTGACCAATATAGGATATTAAAATATCCATGTATACCAGCGTAAAAACATTGACAGTAGAGCACATCACAAAGTGGAAATTTACTATGACTACATGCCTAGAGAGTAACGGGAAGCTTGGTTAATAGTGTCTCAATATTCTGCAAAACACTTTACATCCTCAATGCAGTTCTTTTCTGTTTTTGCACAAAATGAAACTTTCTTAAGGCAAGTCAATAAGCTCATAAAAGACAGAAAGATATTCCTTTTTCCTTGGCATTTCCGGAATCCTCTTAACACGTATTAGTAAATTGAGAAGACACTATAACCATTTGAAGTACAGGAAGGCTATAGAGAGCAAGCACTGTGATTTATTGGAGGCTGTTCCTGATATGTTTCAGTTACATTATTTTATAAACATGAGTCTCTTTAAATAGACAATGTCACAAAAAGACTGAATGGTACAGCCTAGTTCAACATTTCCAAGATGGTTGTTTCTGAAGGGGAAGGTCTTGAAACCAGAAAACCTGCTCCTTTGATTGTGGGGTGGTTCATTGTTGTTTTTTTTTCCTATTTTCCCTATTCCCAAATATTACTTTCTCTTGAGCATTGTATGTCTTAAAAAATAAGGGTAATTGAAGTCAAATCTGTGTTTAATTATGTGTGTAATTTACTAATATTTAGATATGTTTAACCTCATGCTGTGTCTCTGGCTTGCTTTATGAAATCGAATGCAGAGTTGTACAGAGGTGATTTGTGTTGGATGTGAATTATTTTTTTAATGGTACATTAAGCCATGGCACTACACTGATTGCAAGTTACACGAACCTGTTTTATAAACTGAAGATTACAGTGGATAGCCATTTTGTTTTCTGTTCCATAGATTTTATTTTTCCTTTTCAAAATTCCATTTTGCTTCATTTGACTGACACAGAAGCTAGGAGAAAAAAAATACCAGACAGGAATATCCTTATAGGATATCCTTATAGGAACCTGTAAAGTGATGAATGCTCTCAGTTCTTATTAAAGAGAATATTTTAACTGTTTACAGGACTGGACGTTAAGATGGACAGGAATGAGTCTCCATGTAACAAGGAACAATCACAAAAATTAGTCTGAATTTGCAGTTACTTTTGTTTTCAGACAGTAAAGTAACTGCCCATCTTGTATCTAACATTAGCAAAGCAGCCCTACATAGGCTGCACATTTACTTCTTATTAGGCACACTGGAGGAAGGCCACTAAGATGTAACAATTTAATCTTTAAAAAGAGAAGCCTTAAATTAGACGCCTGTAAGGATACCTGATTTTCACGAATAATGAATATATAGGATAAAACCATGAGGCTTCCATATAAAGCATTTCCTGTAAGCTCTTCTGATGCTGTCTTCTTGCTCTGCATTCTTATATGCTAGTGAAATCAAGGGCTGCATAATTAGACCAATTAACACAGGTATCAAATCTCTAACTCCCACATAGAACCTCTAAATTATGTACCCTGATTCAATGGGGGGAAAAAAAAATTATATGGAGGGAAAAGACAATTATTAGAAAGTCTGACAAGCATTAGACAATAAGATTTGAAACTTTTGATTAAAATTTACTTCATTATGTCATATCAGAAAGTTTTACTCAAGTATCTAGGAACAACATTTTTAAAAGTTAAAGCCTAAACTTAGGCAGCTATATTCTTCTATACCTTTAAGGTTTACTGTGCATCAAAGAACTTCTATTGAGGCAATTCAGAATCTAGGCAAGATGATCATAAAACCAAACATACTTATTACTCTAGCAGACAGTCTCTGGAATTATAACTATTGTTATCCATCTGCAGACATGCTTTTCTTTTATTTTGGGCTTTATGTTTAAATAATATTAAACTACATCGTTACTTAGACTCAGCAAATGAAATCTGTTCTTTCTATGAACTTTTCAGAAATGTCTTGGAAATTTTGCTTGGAAATTTTTTCTTAAGCAATTTTTTATCTTAAAGGAAAATAAGGATATTTGCATAATTCTTTTTATTAGCAATAAAATAATAAGGAATTTGTGTGTGTTTGCATGTACATTTTCCTATCCTTTTTTGTCTTAGGAAACCCCTGCTTTTGTGAGGCGGATAAACTAGTGATGTTCGTATCTAAAAAACTCTAGACAGACATTTTTTCCAAAGATATATCATATACCTTTGAGGAATGAGTGAAGTCATTTGCAAACAATATGTTCTGCAACTCTATGTGCTAAATGACCACACTAATTTTGAAATTTTTGATTTCTTTTATTTTGGTTCAGGACCTACCTGTTTGGTTTAGGAAAGCTTCAAGTTACCCAAATATATCAGTGAATAAAAAGGACTTCACCTCCTAACATTTTGACATTGACATTGCCCTATGTAGTGTTTAGTCCTTCTTGCTCCTTAATTCCCTGTTGTCAAAGGTTTTTAAATCAGTGATAAAAGACTCTTCCATGCTCCAAATGCAAAGAATCAGTCTTTGGTGGGAACTATGTTGGATTCTGCATTGCTTTCAGTTTAATGGTCTTAGATCTCTTAGGAAAAAAGTAAATTCTAAAATGACTGTAAGATGTTCTATGCAAAAGAAGAAAAAACTTGTTCTTTGTTCTGTGGAATAATCTGGGAACACTGCATCGATTAGCCACAGATCCAAAGGGCGATGGCTCTTGTTTTTTCCTGGAAAAACAATGCTTGTCTGTTATATTAGAGACAGGGTCTCTGACAAAGGGATATTATAGTGAAAAAGCTTTTATACAGGTTATGACTGAGTAGTATTAGATGACATGCATTATTTATATCATAGGGGCAAAAAACTGAAGCAACACTAATTATGTGCAGCTCTAGGACCTCACAAACAGACTTCTTTCAAGGACAGGTAGTAAGGGACCATCAATAACCCGCATTTTCTTGTGATACAGTTTTCCTTGGCTCTTATTCACCCTGTTGGTTTCCCTTTTTAGAGGCCTTATACTGAAGAGTAGCTGCGCTTCTCACTTAGGCATATTTTATGTGCAACAGTAGTCAACAGAGTCCTTTTTATTATTTTTTTTCCCAAGCCGTATTTTGCAAGAAGCTTTACAAGCATATGCATTATTCACATCCTAGATATGTAGATATTTGTCAGACCAGGAAAGGGGAATGCATTTCCAAAGGCTAATTTTTGTCTATAAAGGTTAATTTCCCAAGAGTCCCTTGTAGTCAGTAGAGGAACATAGTATGATAGTAGCCTCCAGAGAACAGTTCAGAGTAGGAGACTAATTAATCTCAAAGGGGGATATTAACCACACTAGACTGTAGTCAGTCTTGGTGAATGGCTCCCACTCTGGTCATTCACCTAGATTATGCCAATTGCACAGAAATAACCTACCCTTTTGCTCATTTATTAACCCACCAAAGCCTGTCATCTGCAAAACTTGTTAATAAATATTTTTACATGGTTACCATACACACAGGAACAGACTGAGATTTAGTCCTAAGGGAACTCTCCCTACTACTCCATTGATACATATGCACTGGCTGCACATATTGCATGCTTAATATATTTATCCTGTGCAGTTACCTTTGGTCTCCAGATCAAGTTTTGTAGGGTGGTTCACATCCAAGTTCTTCAAGGTTACTCTATGGTAAGCATCCACAGTAAGCATAGCTTGACACTGACTTTGCTTTTAGTCCCACATGGTGATTCTTTGAACAAAAGACATAATTATAGGGGGGGTTTTTTGTTGTTTTTTGTTTATTTGTTGGGGGTTTTTTGACTTTTTGTTTTGGTTTTTTTTTCTGTTGAAAATGTAACTAATGAAGTGAAGGCTTTATTACAGCCTGTCAGAGCCGTATTCTTATAGGCTGAAATTTGCTGCATGCCCTTGCATCACGGTATGTTCAGGAACTTCTGGATCAAGAGCACTTTCAGAAAGTATTGGAGAATTGCATAGAGCACATGGTAACAAGCCTAGTGTTGTCTGAACCCTTCAGCCTTTTGGAAGCTATCTATCAAAGAAGCTATACCTAGAACCACTTTCAGGTAGCATTTCAGAAGCTGTTTTGCTCTCTTTAAAAGGAAGTTAAAATAATGTCTGTGCAGTACAATCAGAAGACTAGATATTGCAGTTATGAGGTGAACTAAATTATTTGACAGTGCAAATGTATCCATTAAAAATTAAATTCAAGATTATCTGGAAAGACAGATTTCAAATAGCATGCTGTGGACCTCTAAATTCCAAGTAATGGTACATCTTCAATCAAAATATTGTGGGGCACTATGAAAAATCAATTTAAAAAATAAGTTTTGTAACATAATTAGTGTTCTGCTTAGTGGGGATTCTTGAGCTGACTAGTGTATGATTCTGATTGTTCACTGATCTCAACTGTTTTATATTAGCAAAAGATATTAAGAATAAAGACTGTTTCATGCAAAAAATATTTAG